GGAAGGAAGGAAGGAAGGAAGGAAGGAAGGAAGGAAGGAAGGAAGGAAGGAAGGAAGGAAGGGCAATAGCACTTAGACTTTTATACCGCTTCACAGTACTTTACAGTCCCCTCTAAGCGGTTTACGGAGTCAGCATTTTGCAAAACAGAGCAAAGCTCACTTAACAACTGTCTTGCTTAGCAGCATACATTTTGAACTCCACTATGGTCATTAAGTCGAGGACAACCTGTGTTTGCGACGACTGGCCGCCAGTCCCTTTTTTTGAGCACCGTTGTAACTTCCAACGGTCACTACGTGAACAATAGTAAGCCGAGCGCTGCCGCCCAAAGTTTAAACCTCCGATTCTGCTCTTCCCTATTTGAATAGTAAAAGATAAGTCCCGTTCAAGAGAGACTTCTGAAGACTTCAGAAGAACCCGCGAGCATTCCTCAAATGTTGAATTATTTTCTCTTTTCCTCCATTGTTTTTCTTCTTTTCAGGAGAAAGATTAACCGAGGACGAAGTTGATAAATTGATGGCCGGTCAAGAGGACTCCAATGGGTGTATCAATTATGAAGGTGAGATGGTTCTTCAGGAGGTGACCTTTTTCTACGGTTGGGGGTTGGGGGTCGATGTTCTCCTTGGGATTTGACCTTCTTGAGAAACGAGGGGGGTGGTCAGTGGGGGCAGGTTGTAAATCACTTTTATGAGGAAGATCAATAGAGAGAATGGAATAAATGATGGCTCGCCAGTTCCTGCCCAGACGAAGGGACCAGAAAAAACGGCCCAGTGGGATATAAATTATTCAGGACATCTAAGTGATTTTTAAAGTCCAGGTTAGCTGGGAGGGGTGGGCTGGGTGTGTGTGTGTGTCACACCTTCGGGCTCGTTGTGCCTCTTAGATGAAAAACAGCGCCCGCAAAATGTAAAGCTTGGGTGGGAGATAATACCTACCATGCAACGGCATTACGAAGTCTTTTCGAAGGATGAGATTTTCGGGACAATTAGAAGAACCGAGAGCGCTAAAAGAAAAGCCGCGAGTTTGTTGTCACTTTTGGCTGGGAGAAATGGTGCATCGTTGTACTTCTTGAACGGAGATACCACATAGGAGTGATTGACAGGATGGGCCCGAAGTCTGGAAGCCCAGGGGACCAGGAAAAAAAAAAAGAAAGGAAGAAATTTTGGGAAGGTGTGGCTGCTTTAAGGCTACTCACCACTGCTGGGCTTCTAGGTCACGTGACCTTCACTTGCAACATTCCGTGACAGTTTCCCAGTCAGTCTAGCAATCCCTCACTCCCTTCCCCAACCTAGCAGCAGCTACTTACCTGTCTGCTAGGAAGGGAAGTTAGGGATGGAGGGAGGAAAAGAGGAAGGGAGGGGGGAAAAGGAGGAGAGGAAAGGAAGGACAGCTGAGAAAGGGAGAGAGGGGGAACGAAGAGGCAGAAAGAAGGAAGAATTGGACGGATGGAAAGAAAAGAGGAAAACAGGAATAGGGAAGGAGGGACAGAAGGAAGGAAAAGAGGAAGGGAGGAAGGGGAAAGGAAAGAAGGAAGGAAAGAAAAGAGGGAGCCAGGGAGGGGAACAGAAAGGAAAGAAGGATGGACAAATGGAAGGGAAAAAGGAAGAGGAGGGTAGAGAGGAAGGGAAGGGAAGATTTAGGTAGAGAGGAAGGGAAGGAAAGCCATTGGAGGAGCCAGTAGGAAGCCAGAGGTCGCTCTCAGTCATTCTATTTCTCTGCTTAGTTAAGCAAATATCTCCAAAACAATGACCCAGTGCGGAACAACATGTTTCCTAGGGATGGTATAAGAAATTTGGGAGGGATCTGGGATATTTGGGGATTTTTAATGTGTGGAAGAGTGACTTTCTTGCAAACATTTCACCCTCCCTTTCCCCCCCCCGCCCCCTTAATTGTTTTAGCCTTTGTGAAACACATCATGGCAAGTTAAAATGGCAGGTAAGAGGATCGTTATCTTAATTCTCCTACGATTGATTCCCTTTTGCGACTCTTGTATACGTTTTCTGAGAGCTGATCGAGGCTGAGATAACGCAGCTCATTCCACTCTTTATAGCTCAGAAACAAACCGTGTTTGTTGCTGCCGTTTCTTTCTCCGTCAAACCGAAGGAAATGCAGGAGGTCCTCGACTTACAACAGTTCGTTTAGTGGCTGTTCAAAGTTACAGCGGCACCGAAAAATGTGATTTACGGCTGTTTTTCACACAACCGCTGCAGCATCCCCATGGTTACATGACAAGAACTGAGGCACCTGGTGACTGACTCACATTTACGACAGTGGCAGTGTGCCCGGGGTCATGTGATCCCCTTTTGCGACCTTCTGACAAGCAGAGTCAATGGAGGAAGCCAGACTCGCTTAACAACCACGTTACTAACTTAACAACCGCAGGGATTCACTTAACAACGGTTTGGAAGGAAGGTGGTAAAATGGGGCAAAACTCACTTAACCAATGTCTTGCTTAACAACAGAAATCTTGGTCTCCATTGTGGTTGTAAGTCGAGGACTGCCTGGGTTCTCATTTTTCATCGTTGCAGCTACAACAAGCGCAAATTTAAATCCTAAAAGTGGAGCTGAAGCCAAATGAATAATTTGGGATAATTCAGAGAAATCCTGAAGTAATTTGAATCCAAGACTGGAATCATATACAGGCTGTCCTTGACTTACGACCACAACTGAGCCCAAAACTTCCATTGCTAAATGAGTTTTGCCTCATTTTACGACCTTTCTTGCCACAGTTGTTAGGCGAATCAGTGCGTTTGTTAAGTGAGTCACATGGTTGTTAAGTGACTCGTGCTTTCCCTATTTACTTCACTCATCAGAAGGTTGCAAAAGGGGATCGCGTGACATACACCCCGGACACTGCGACCGTCATAAATGTGAGTCAGTTTCCAAGCGCCTGAATTTTGATGAACATGGGGATGCCACAACGGTTGTAAGTGTGAAAAGTGGTCATAAGTCCCCTTCTTTAGTGCCATTGTAACTGAAACTTTGAACGGTCACTAAATGAACTGTTGTAAGTTGAGGACTACCCGCATTGCACAATAACAGGCCTTTGGGTGAGATGCCCCCAACACAATTTACATCCCTGGATTCAAAACAACGATGTGGGCACAGGCTAGTCTCAAGTTACAGGCCACAATCCAGGGCCCAAAGGTCTGTCATTAAGCAAGGCAGTTGCTAAGTGAGTCACGTCTGATTTTGTGCCTTTTTTTGGCCACGGGTGTTGCATGAATCACTGAGGTTGTTGAGAGAAACCCACGGTCGTTCAAAAATTGAAGACGGAGAGAGAACTTTTGCAACCAAAAATCTTCCTTATTGACAATTGCTGCGTTCTTCTATCACAAACGCTAAAGATGGATTTTGTGTTATTTTTCCCCACACACTTTTTTTATTTTTGCGAGTCAACAACCAGCAAACTCTTTGCCCCAGTCTTGAGATGACTCATAATCTGTGCTGATATACATTTATTTTTTTTCCCCCTCTTGGGAAATGTTTGACCAGCGTTTTTTCCCTGCAAAAATGAAAATGTGTGGGTTACATTCCCCAGATAAAAAAAAAAAAACGAGAGAAAACAGCCCAACTTTATCGGTTCCGGTTGTTTGTCTGCTCTGGCTTATTTATCACCTCCAAGTTCCTGGTCTTGTTTGCTTAGTCAAATCTGGAATGGCTCAAGTTATGACGGGCTCAGATTGGTGGGCCGGGGTTGTTATTTCTTTTTACTGGGGTCCTTATCTGTCCTCCCAAAGTCCCAGGGAATGAAGGAATGAAGTGAACCACCAGCCAGACACTTTATTGGCTGCGAAATGCAGGGTTAAATCTTCCTTCTTTCCCTCCTCCTCTTTCTTTTTTTCCTTCTTTTTTTTTTTTCTTCCTCCCTTCCCTTCTTTCCCCCCTCCCTCCCTCCTTTCTTCTTTTTTCTCTTTTCTTCCCTTCCCTTCTCCATCCCGTTTCTTCCGTCACTCTTTCTTTCTTCCTTCCTCCCTTCCTCCTTTCCCTGTTCTTCTTTCTCCTCTTTTCAACTTTCCTCCACTCTTTTCCTCCTTCCCTCCCTCCTTTCCTTCCTTCCCTTCCTCTTTCCTTCCTGTGTCCCCCCCTCCTTCCTTCTTCTGTTCCTTCTTCCTCCTTTCTTTCCCTTTTCTTTCTTCTGCCTTCTCTTCTTCCCTGTTCGCTTCCTTCCCCCTCCTTTTCTTCCTCCCTTCCTCCTTCCCTCTCTCCCTTCCTTCTTTTCCTTTGTTCCCTCCCTCCTTCCTTCTTTTCCTTCTCTTCCCTCCTGTTTCCTTTTCGCTTTCTTTTTCCCTCTCTCCTCCTTCCTTTCATCCCTCCTCCTTTCTCTGTCGTTCTCTCTCTTTTCTCCCTTCTTCCCACCTGTCTTTCCGGTCCCCCTTTCTTCCTCCTCCTCTCTTTTCCTTCCTTCTTTCCTTCCACCCTTCCCTCCCCTTTCCTGAAACCATGCAACTGAAGCCCACCCCCCTATCCCCTCCCCATTTCACACGAGAAACGTTTTTAATTTCCTCTGGGTGACTTTTTTGCCCTGCGGACCCTGCGGACCCTGTGAAAACCCAGCACTAAAGGGCATGAAATTAAGTCTGGGGGGGCGGTTGGAGTGGTGGGGGGGCTGGCTGGACTTAGGGCTCTCCTCTGCCTTGAACCCACAGCCGTCCTGTCCTTTCTGCGCCAGCTACGCTTGGCAAAGACCTGTGGTTGTGCTTTCGGTTTGCGGGTCCGTGTTGGGTCTTCGCCAAAAGCTCCGGGATGCTCAGCCCACCCACACGCTCCGCTTTTCTGCGCAGGTCACAACAACCAGATTAGAGGCAACAATTTGCTTTTTTCCGCACAACCCCCCCCCCCCCCCCCCCCCCCCCAGTCAAGCTCCGTGCTTGGAAAGGCGCCAGGCAAGAAATTGGCCATTTTCCCAGGTTTTAAGTGTTTTCAAGTACTGACTGGGAGCAATTTTGAGAAAATGTACCTTTACTGTTTTCCTCGTCTCTCTCGCCATCATCTATCTTCTTTCCTTCCCTTCTTCCATTTCTATTCCTTCCTTCCCTTCATCCTTCCCTCCCTCTCTCTCTTTCATTCCTTCCTTCCTTCTGTTTCTTTCCTTTCCTTCTTTTCTCTTCTTTCTTCCTTTGCTTCTTTCCCCACTCACTCTTCCCTCCCTCCCTTTCTTCCTTTCCTCTCTCCTTCCTTCTCCTTCCTCCTTCCCTTCTTTTCTTTCCTTGAACCTTCTCCCCTCCTCTTTTCTGGCCAGGGAATTCTGGGAGTTGAAGTTCATCCATCTTCAACACGCCAAAGTTGAGAAATACTGATTTTTGTTCTTCAACTTCAGTCACAATTAGGGCCAGAATATCAGCTGCTCAGTGAGTTGCACCTACAACTTTTTCCACCACGGTTGATTAGGAAATACCTGGTGGTATTCAGCCGGTTCACACCGGATCTGGCGAATCGGTAGCAAGAATTGGGCGTGGGTCACAGAACCAGTAGTAAAAGTTTTTGAATCCCACCACTGCCTGGAAGTGAGTGGTGGAACTCTGGGGAATGGAATAAACAAGGAGTAGGGAAAGTGAGGAAAGTGGAGTAAACACGAATTGCAGAGTATGGAGTAGACGTGGAACAGAGTCGACTTGGTGCATGTTGGCTAACTCTTTCTCTTTTGGCTTTCAGGATTGTTTTCTTCCATAAGTGACGGAGGTTTTGGATGTCTTCGGATGGACTTCCGTCCTTCTGGAACCAAATTTTAAACTCCACCTAGTTACTCCTCACTCCAACCCTACTATCTTTTCCTGTCCTCCCTGCCTGCCTCTGAGGAAGACTTCCGCTACTCTTCGTGGGGACTTTGCAACATCTAAGTTCTCTGCAGGACACAATTTGCAATTACATTGCCTGTACTACCTGTAGTAGTGAATGAGTTGTTTACTACTCTGAAAATTGGTCCTTGCAACGATTAAAAGTGCTGAATATGACCCTCTCGTGTATCTATTAAGTCTACCTGTTAGTAGCAAAAGAACACTTTATTACTATAAACAATCTCTCCGTTGTATCTATCTGGCCTATTTTACATGGTCTACCTGTATCAGTAAATGAATGTACTCTGTGTAATTAGTCTTGTAATTAGGGACAATAGTAACAGTCTACCTATATCTATTACATCTACTGCCCGTAGCACTAAATGAATAGCTTACTACTATGACTAACATTTCTTCTATTAATAATTTCAACCATATTCCATCTATCTATTACATTTACTACTGTAATAATACATGATTACATTACCACTATAGGAAATAATCCTGGTAACTTAGTAGTTTTAACTATGATCCACCCATACCCCTATAATATCTTCCTGTAGCAATAAATGAGTAGCTTAGTACTAGGAATAATAAACTTTATAACTATTAATGGTTTTAGCTACAATACATTGATTATATCTACCACCAGCAGTAATAATGAGTACTTTACTAGTATGAGCAATAACCCTAATAGCTTCAATTCAAATACAACTATATATTTACATCTACCACCAATAGTAGTAAATGACTACTGTTTTGAGTAATAACCCTTGTAACTATTAATGGTTTCAACTGCAATACACTTACAATACACTTATTGTGGATTGCATCTCCTGGCCATAGTAATGAATGAGTAGTTTATTGCTATGAGTAATAATCCTTGTAAGTAACTATTACCATATCTTTGGTGAGGGGATTAGAGTTTATTTCCCCTTTTTTCAAATCTTCTTTTGGAAAAGCTGAGCAAATGTGGTGTAAATGCTGGAGGATGTGAAGTTTTGTGTACCTTGGTTTGTGTGTGTATGTGTAAGTGTGTGTGCATGTGTGTCTCTGTGTGTCGGTGTGCAAGACAATCAATAAGGTGATGGAAGGAGTGTTGTGGTTGCAAGTATTCAAAAGTGGCACCGCTCATATCACAAAACTCAATTTGCACCTTGGCTTCTCCAGAATAAGTAGTCCTTGATTTACGACGGGTCACTTAGCGGCCGTTCGAAGTTACGCCTGACCTAAAAAAGGGGACTTACAACCTGGCTTTTTTCTGACTGGTCACAAACACCCTCACTTCCCGGAACTAGTCAATGATGTGTTCCCACTTACAACTGCCGTGTTCGCTTAATGACCACTGCAAAAAGTCATTAAAAATTGAAGTCAGTTTTATCGCTGACCTGTTTTATGGCTGTCACGACTTATGACTGTGATGGGCAGGCTCCGTTATGGTCGCATGGCAAGGGCTACTGGAGGAATTGACAGACAAAGAAAGGAATAAAGAAAGAAGAAGAAAGATTGACCGGCAGGCAGACAAAGAAAGAAAGAGAGAGAGAGGACAGAGAAAGAGAAGCAACACCCCCCCCCGCCTTAAGAATTCCCCAAGGGATACCTCCCCCTCCTCTTTCCCTCATTCTACATCTTGGCAGCCCCTCCAAATTCTTCTCCCCTCCCTCCTTTGTCCCGGGGACCCTCGCATTCCAGTAACCCGACACCCCTCCCGCGAACTCAAACCAGCCTCCACCAGGCTCCCCTCCCGAGTTATTTCGGGACGCTCGGCTCTGCCCCCCACCTCCCCTCCCCAAGGCCCTTGACCTACGACCCCCCCCTTCCAAAATATCTTCCCCCCCTCCCCATCACAACCCCTTCTGGGCCGCCGTCTCCGCCCCACTTAAGGCGTCAATGCAACGATTGTCCCATCTGCGCGTCCCCCGTCGGGCCGATATCCCGAGCTCCGGAGTGATGGGCACAGCAGGCGGATGCCCTGGCGGTAGAGTTCACGCCTCCTACGCAACCCCCCCCCCCCCCCCCCCCGCCCCTGTGTCTTGTGTCCGAGGGGCCTTTGTCCTCCGAAGGGGCTAAAAATAAGCTGAAAGGTTGGACATCCGCGTTGCCTCTATTTGAAGGCGCCTCCCTGGGTTTTCCCAGGGACGATGAAGCGGTCATCACGATGTCCTTCTTCTATTGTCCTGCTGTCACTCATCTTCCCTGCCCCGCCTCCTTCCAAACACTCCTGGCTCTGCAGCCACTCACCCCCAATTAAGCCCTCCTCCTCCACAATGTTACATACAGTCCTCGACCTTTGACCACAACTGAGCCCAACATTTCTTCTTGCCACCGTCGTTAAGCAAATCCCTGCAGTTTTGACAGGTCGCCAAAAGGGGGTTGCATGCATGACCCTGGGGCGCTGCAGTCGTAAATACGAGTCAAGCATCCGAATATAAATCACCCGCATCCATGGGGGATTGGCGACCGCTCGTTTAGCAAAGCAAAGGTGCAAAGGCACCGAAAAGGTGACTTTTGACCCGTCCTCACACTTATGACCGTCGCAGCATTCCCCAGGGTCACCTGATCAGAATTCAGGTGCTTGGAGAAACTGGCATGGATTTAGGACAGTTGCAACGGGTTGGAAGGATTTGTCCTTCTGGGTTCAGTTCCAAGTGGGGGAAAAAGACGCTGGAAACATGGAGGCTGTTTGGAAAGATGGTTTAATGGTGGACAGGAGGACCTCGTGGCCTGGAGCTCCAGAGTGAAAAGGAAAGATGATCACATGCTCCAAGGTGAAGGAAGAGATCAAGAAAAGGGGCTGAGGTGCTGAGAGTGCCTGGGTTTTATACCCTCTGTTGGGATTTGAATTGGAGCTTGTCTTCTGATTGGTTGTCAGACTCCTGTGGGGCCACGCAGGGGCAACTCTGAAGGCTGTCCTGAGTTCCAGGCTTGGCTGAGCCTGGCTGGATGATGATGTACTGAAAAGGGCTTTGGGCAATTGCTATAGTTTTTTACATGGAGATCTTTGTTATGTAAAGTATTCTGGCCCAGGCCTTAATGGCCCACCCATTAACAAAGGTATAGGTGAGCTCCTACTTCCGAGGTGAGTTTCTGGTTCTGAGTTTCTGTTCTTTTTAGGGGAAATATTCTGCCTTTTTAATATTTCCCAGGATATTTCAATTTTCTAGGACAGGGGTGGGTGCTAACTTCCTGTAGCAACGTCCCGGGGGTGGGGGCTCATGAGACCTCTTGCTTTATGACCATCATAACTTACAACCATTATGGTCGTAAGTTGAGGACTACCTGTAGTGGCACTCGAAGAGGGTCAGAGGGCTGCAGGAAAGGATGTCCTTGAATAATGTTTCGGTCAAGGAATCAGGAAGAAAAAAAAAGGGATTTTTTTTTCAATACAGGTAGTTCTCGACTGAAAGTCATTTGTTTAGTGACCGTTCAAAGTGGCACTGAAAAAAAGTGACCTAGGACCGTTTTTCACCTGATCGTTAGCGCGTCCCCATGGTCACAGGATCAAACTTCACACACTCAGCAGCCGATTCGTAGTTACGATGGTTGCAGTGTCCCAGTGCGGGGTGGGGGCGTCACACAATCCCCTTTTGCGACCTTCTGTCAAGGAAAGTCCATAGGGAAGCCCGGATTCACTTAACAACTGTGTGGCTCATTTAACAACTGCAGTGATTCACTTAACAACTGTGGGAAGCAAGGTCGTAAAATGGCGGGAAACTCTCTTAAGGACTGTCTCATTTAGTGATGGAAATGTTTGGCTCAGTTGTGGTTGTAAGCCGAGGACTACCTGTCAACCTTGCTTATTCTTTCTTTTATTGTTTCTTTCTTTCTTTCTTTCTTTCTTTCTTTCTTACTTCCTTCCCCTCTTTCTTTGCTGTTTGTTTGACTGTGTCAATCTTTCTTGTTCTTTATTTCTGTCTGTCAATATCTCTTTGTCTATCTGTCTGTCAATCTTTTTCTTTCTTACTTATTTCTTTCTTTTCCTTCCTTCCTTCCTTCCTTCCTTCCTTCCTTCCTTCCTTCCTTCTTTTTCTTTCCTTTTCTCTCGTATCTATTTCTCTTTTTCTCTCTCCCTTTCTCTTTCTTTCTTTCTTTCTTTCTTTCTTTCTTTCTTTCTTTCTTTCTTTCTTTCTTTCTTTTTCTTTCTTTCTTTCCTGTTTGTCTGTCTGTGTCAATCTTTCTTGTTCTTTCTATCTGTCAACCTTTCTTTTCCTTCCTTCCTTTGTTTCTCCTCCTCTTCCTTGTCCATTTCCTCATTATCCTTCCTCCTCCTCCTCCTCCTCCCCCTCCTCCTCCCCCTCCTCCTCCTCCCCCTCCTCCTCCTCCTCCTCCTCCTCCTCCTCCTCCTCCTCCTCTTTGTGGACCCTGAATCTGGGGTGGGATTCCTTCCTCCTCTCTATCTCCTTCCCCTCCTTGTCTGTCTTCTCCTCTTCCTCCTGCCAGTCCTCCAAAGGTCATCTAGAAGGAGACTTATGGACTTGCTTGGGCAGTTCAGGGGGGCCCTAATAAAAGAGACCTCTGAGCTAGATGGTCCAGTTGGTCAGTAAAGCAGGATACTGCTTGCATGGTTTTCCTTTTTGTAGACCCTGAATCAGTGGTGGGATTCAAACATTTTACTACCGGTTCTGTGCGCGTGGTTTTGTGGGCGTGGCTTGGTGGGCGTGGCAGGGGAAGGTTACCGCAAAATCCCATTCCCTCCCCACCCCACTAACCTGCTTTCCAGCTCCGTTCTCCTGTGCAGGGCAACCAAAGAAGGCCCAACCGATCAGCTGGGACTCAGTGGGAGGCAGAGAAGAGATTGGGGGCAGTCAGGGGTGATATTTGCCGGTTCTCCAAAAACTATTCAAAATCTCCACTACCGCTTCTCCACAACCGGTCAGAACCACATAATTGCATCCAACCCCAAAGGCACGACGGACTCCATTGCTTGAAAAAAGGAGAAAGGACATTCTTCTAGCAAAGCGTGGATGACTGGAAGCCAGGAGCATTCCCCGAAACCACGTTCACAGGGATGGTCGGCCTCCCACGGAGCCTGACCTCTCTCCTTCTCCCTCCTGATGGCATCCATCCCTTCTGGAGCGCTGGTGGGAAGGAAACGCCAGGGCAGACCCTCAAGCGAAGCCAAGGGAAGCTGACGTCAGATATTATCCATAAAGTTCCTTGGGGACTGGACCG